AGGTGCTACCGAGTAGGAACAAGAGAGGGCCAAGACTTGCTTTTGTAAGAAACCCACTCTCCTGAGAACAAACTGTCTCCTAGAATAATAACATTAATCCATACATGGAGGCTGAGCTCTCATGATCTAATTACCTCTGTATTATTATTTTTTATTTTAAAGATGTGGGGTGCAGTTCAGGGTTAGGTGTACAAATGTTCATTATACGGAGAATAAGGAGAATAAGGAGAAAGAAAATTATTATTATTATACGGAGAATAAGGAGAAAGAAAATTAAAACAATTTATAATAAAATAATATATATTTTAGTATGTAAATGCTCAGGCATGACTAGGCTAGAAGACATCATCAGTCATGTACTCATACTTATAGAGTGACTTTGAGAAGTGAAGTACAAATGGAGATCAGAAGATCTATATTATTGGTAACTCAATACTATAAATGGTATTGTCTTCAGTGATAGGACTTTGTGAAATACTGGCTAGGTAAAGTTCTTAAAACACAGTTTTTTCTTGATTTGCCTGGAAAATTAAGTGCTTTGAGGATTATGTAAAAGCAAGCTTTTTGTTTTTAAATGTAAAAGAAGGTTTAGTTCTAGCCTCTGATAATTATAAGCAAGTTTTTCAACTTCATAGAAAATCTGGCAGGCCATTTTAAAGTAGCTACTGAATTCAAAATAATTCTTCATTGTAGTGAACTGTCCTATGCAGGATGTTTGGTGTCTCTGGTTCCTGCTCATTACGTGTCCATAGTATTCCACAAACATTGAACAAACAAAAGTTTCCCAAGCAACCCTCAAGATAGTACTGCCTCCACTGAGAACCATTGGAGTGGTTAATTAGTTTATGTTGTGAGCTATTATAAATACAGTATAGATTCTGAAGATGTTTTTTGAGACATGAGTGCTCTGACATGTAAATTGTCTCATAGACGTTATCATTACCTTTTTTGGGGAAACTCTTATTTCCCATTGCTGTTGCTTGTTAATGCAGTATTTCATTTCCTTTGACTACCAACCCAATTTGTGCTTATTGTACATTATTGTTCAACAGAAAACATTACAGCCAATATTATGAACAGAATCTTAATTATATCCTGTATTTTAAGTAATGGAAGAAAATCAAAAATTTATAGTTAAGAAGGTTATCTTGAGAAACTGGCAGATATATATAAGACTAATGTGCTATTGAGGTCTTGATCAAGGTTAAAGTTTGTCGAGTGAGGATAGTGCCTATTGTTTTTGTATGATTGTCAGGTTTTGCTTCAGAGTAAAGTGGAGTTGCTTGAAGGATTTCTATGTAAGCCTTTTTTGCAGTATACTTATAGTAAGATGTGATGTGAAGTTAAATGATAAGCCTTACAGTAAGATGTGATAGGTGAAGCTAAATGATAAATCATAACAATTGATATTTTAAAAGGAAATGGAGTGGGCTGAAATTTGTTACTATATTATGACTAGCTTCAAGTGGTATGATTACTTTCTACGTTTATATGAAGGGACCCTCCAAAAACCCAGAATTTATTCATAAAAAATTGTTTTTTTATTCTTATATGTTTCAACTTCAGGTACCTTCCAAGTACTCGCTGTTTGATGCAATACACCTATTGAGATGCTTTTGTCAATTTTGATGCCTTTTAGTGCTTCTACTGTTTTTTGTTTCACCACTTCCACAATAGCAAAAAGTTTCCCTTTGAGGACTTTTTTCATGCAGGGAAACAAACAAAAAAAGTCTCTTGGCCCAGATTGGGTGAATAGGGAGGGTGGGGCACAGGAGTCATGCCGTTGTTGGTGAAAAACTAATGAACACTCAGCATAGTGTGGGCAGGTGTGCGGTTATGGTGAAAGAACCAGTCACTTGTTTGCCACAACTTGAGATGTTTCTTCCACAAATGGTGATGCAACTTTTCAAAACTTCCAGATAAAATTTTGTTAGCCGTTTGATCCAGAGGAACAAATTCTGAATGTACTACAAGGGGCCTGCCCTCCAAAAAGATAATTTCTTGATTTTTTGGGGTACCTCTTCATACTTAAATGATCTATATTTTTACCTAAATTATCTGATTTGGCATTTAGATAAAAAGAATAAACATCTTCCTGCTTAAGTAAATAGGAAGATAAGTATGTTTTGCGGCAAAGATGTAGGAATAAGTTTAAGAAATATTTAACTAGTTTCTAATTATAGTTGAGGACCAAGAGCTCAGTGTTAATTATGTTAAAGATCTAAAGTTGTTTTGACAGAAATTCTGCACAATTTTCATGTTAAATTCCAAATACTATTATCTAACTGACCAGCTGGTTCATTATCTGGGGTACATTTTGTAGTTTATCTCACCCTAGCAAGTTACTAGGACGCTAAACAGCTCAAATTTGGAAGTTTTTGCAGAGGCTTTATGGATGGTCTTTTGAAGTTGAAACAAGCATTGATTAAAATCTACTCTTATGCCCTTTTGCCCCAAGTTATCTCTGCCTTATTTTATTGAGTGTGATCCTTGTTCTTTTGGACACTTAGGCATTTGAATAGAGCCAAGGTTGCATTCTCAAAGATGCATTGGCACTGTGTGGTTCATTTCTGCTCCACAGTCTGTCCATTAAGAGCATTTATCAGTTTTCTCAACTTTTATAATCAAATGAAAATTCTTTAATCAAAGCTATAGTTCTCCCTTCAGTCACTAAAAAAAATATCAATGATCTAGTTTCTTGTCAGTGCAAATGATGACAAATTTGTTTGCTTAACCCACTCAAAGACTGAGAGATAGGAAGTATATATATATATAGGTTTACCAGAGTCTGTGAATACCAACCTAACTTCCCAAAGTGTGGCAATAGCAATCATGGGAAACTTTATATAACTTATACAGTTTTCTTTAATGCATAGATTTTTAGAAGTTCAGTATGCTAAATATATTTTGAGTCACTAAGTAGGGTCAACATGATACTGTGTTTTTCAAACTTACTTGATAATGAAACCATATATTTTTTAGGCATCTTTCACATATTAGTTGCTTATTGCTAGTCCAGGACTAGACCCCTGAACTTCAGGAATTAATAACAAAGAACATGTTCTTTCTCTGAGTTATATTTTAATATTATGCCTTTCAGTGAGTTCTGACATTAAAAGTAGCTGTATGAAAGGTCCTTACAGTTATAAATTATTGTTTAAGACATTGTCTGGTGTGTTGATTAGTGTTCTTGGAATGAATTCTTTTTGTGATTTAATACTTGATAAAGGTGTGTGTTTTTCTTTTCTGTCATATGAGAATTATATAAGCCATTATGCCTTCTTTTTTGCCTGTAAGGCAATTCAAATAAATGTAACATAAAACTGTGACAATTATTCAGCTCCCATGTTTAGCATACTAAGGATTTTTATTCTTCCCTTTTATGCTTTGGCAGTTTGACAGATCCCTGCTCTCAAACCTTAGTTTCTTCATCTTTAATATAAGAATAATATCTACCATTTGGAAGTGAGAAAACCATGAGTCGAGTTGATGAAAGAAATTATATACCTATTGTAAACAATGTCTCCACAATTTGAGTTACTTGGAAATAGAAGACAGACCAAATTGTCACCCAACAATTTAACACAGGCAGTTTTTTTGAGCAAAGCACTGGTTTAAACTTGAATCTGAGTTACAGTTTTGAAGTAGCAACAGCTCTTTTGAAATTTTTGCCTGCGCTGCATGTTTCTGTCGCAAGTGGAAATGAGAGTGAACTCTCTAGGGTGATTTTATAGGCTCAGAAGTTGAGAAGCAGATTTATAATTTTTGAAATAAGAATGAGCAGGGACATCAGGCATTTCAGTGATAGCAATTTCAACTTTTAGAATAGAACACACAAGACATTTGATTGAGCTATGTCCCACTTAAAAATGCTAAATATTAGATGCTCTGGATTTTATTTCCATATGGAAATGATTCCATTTGAAAGGAACTGTGACGTTTCTGATCTCAGACTGAGGATACTGTCTTTCCCTTGAGTCCATTATACTTCAATTGATGACTGGCTCATTGGTCTTGTCATCCACTCCAACACATGGCTAAGACGGTAGGTAAGGTGACCAGATAATTTATCATCCAAACTAGACACTTTTCAGAGTGAAAAGAAGCACTATTTTTTTTTTTGAGTTGGAGTCTCACTCTGTCACCCAGACTGGAGTGCAGTGGCCGCTACCGGCCACCGCAGCCTCAACCCGCTGAACTCTGGCGATCCTTCCGCCTCAGCCATCCAAGTAGCTGGAACTACAGGTGCGCTCTACCACGCCCAGCTAATTTTTGATTTGTTGTAGAGATGAGGTCTCGTCAAGTTGCCCAAGTGGGTCTCGAACCCGAGGGCTCAGGCAATCCACTCACCTCGGCCTCCCAAAGTGCTGGGATTACAGGCTGAGCCACCGAGCCTGGCCAGAGGCACTATTAATATATAAATCTAGACATAGGTATAAACTCTAACATGCCAAGACAAACTGTACATTTGATAATTCTAGCTAATAACCCTTTCTGTGCTGCCTTTAAAAACAAAAAGTTTTTATATTTTTGTGTATGCTAGCCCTCCTGATATCGCTGTAGCAGTACAGAAATTCAGGACTGTCATCCCTATTTCGGTTTTCCTGATTTGTGCTTTATTTTCTAATTTGGAGTGATATTTTCTTTTTTGCATTAAAATGACTTTTATTGAATTATTCATCAGTTAAAAGACTATCATATACATTAATATGTAGGCCATGATGGCTTTTTCTTTAGACTCCACCAGCGAGGTAATAATCAGGGGACAACTTAAAGCACGGAGGTGAATCTGAAGCTCTTAGTGTCCACTGTGGTAATTTCATACTTAGCAAAGACTGAATCCTTTATCCTTTTCAGATTTAGAATAGTGCTTTTATTTTCTGTTTTGCAGTTATACTTAGACTATTGAAATTAAATTAATGTTGATGAGTCTTGGTTCAAAACCAGTGAAAATGAAAGTTAAATTTTCTCTTATGCTTCCCCCACTCTTATCTTAACAGAAAAAAGCTTGGCAGGACCACAAGCGGGAATGCAAATGCCTCAAAATCTGCAAACCCAGATATCCTCCAGACTCTGTCCGACTTCTTGGCAGAGTTGTTTGCAAACTTGTGAGTATAAAACTTATGAAAGATGCTTGGATTTTAATTAAATAAGCATACACAGTTGTATTTTCAGATATACCCCAGAGATATTGAAGATTGGGTTCCAAATCATTGCAATGCAGTGAGTCTCATATATTTTTTGGTTTTCCAGTGCATATAAAAGTTATGTTTACACTATTCTGTAGTCTATTAAGTGTACAATAGCATTATGCCTAAATAATGTATATATCTTAATTAAGAAAATACTTCATTGCTAAAAAAATGCTAATGGTCATCAGTGCCTTCAATGGGTAGAGTGTCTTGTCTCAATGTTGTCAGCTGCTGACTGATCATGGTGGTTGCTAAAGGTTGGGGTGACTGTTCTTAAAATAAGAAGAGTACCGTTTGTTACAATGATTGTCTCTTCCTTTTGTAAGAGATTGTGCTGTATCATATGTACTAAAATACTATTAGATAGCATTTTAGCTACAGTAGAACTTCTTTCAAAATTTGACTCAGTCCTCTTAAACCCTGCCCCTGCTTTGTCAACTAAGTTTATACATTATTCTAAATCCTTTGTTGTCGTCTTAACAATGTTCACAGCATCTTCTCCAGGAGTAGATTTTATTTCAAGACATGTCTTTCTTTACTCATCCATAGGAAGCAACTCTTCATCTATTCAAGCCTTATCATGAGACTGCAGTAGACCAGTAACATCTTCAGGATCCATTTCTAATTCTAGTTTTCTTGTTATTTCTACCATATCTGCAGTTACTTCTTTCATGACCTCTTGAACCTCTCAAAGTCATTCATGAGAGCTGTAATCCACTTCTTTCAAATATCTGTTAATATTGATATTTTGACCTCCTCCCATGAATTGTGATTTATTGTAGATACGAGGTCTCACCAAGTTGCCTAGGCTGGTCTCAAACCCCTGGGCTCAGGCAATCCTCTTGCCTTGACCTCCCAAAGTGCTGGGATTACAGGCTGAGCCACCGCACCCTGCCCTCCCATGAATTCCTAGTGGCATCTAAAATGGTGAAACTAGAAGGTTTTTAAATGGACTTTGTCTGGATCCATTAGAGGAACACTATCTGTAGCAGCTATAACTTTATAAAATGTATTTTTTAAAAAAATATTAGGACTTGAAAATATAAATTACTCTTTCATCCATGGGCTATCAAATGGCTGCTGTGTTAGTAGGCATGAATACAACATTCAAGATTTTGTACTTTTCCATAGGAGTTCTTGGGTGACCAGATGCATTGTCAGTGAGCAGTAGTATTTTGAAAGGAGTCTTTTTTTTCTGAGCAATTGGTCTCAATGATGGACTTAAAATATCCAGTAAACCATGTTGTAAATAGATGTGCTGTTATCTAAGCTTTGTTATTTCACTGGTAGAGCACATGCAGAGTAGATTAAGCATGATTCTTTTTTAATTTTATTTATTTTATTTTTATTATAAAGGTGTGGGCTATAATTCAGGGTTAGGTATACAAACATTGACCATGAGCATGATTCTTAAAGGACCTAGGATTTTCAGAACAGTAAATGAGCACAGGTTTCAATGTAAAGTCACCAGCTGCATTAGCCCTTAAAAGAAGATTCAGCCTGTCCTGAAGCTTTGAAGCCGGGCATGGAATTCTCTCTAGCCATGAAAGTCCTAGATGGTGTCTTCTTCCAATAGAAGACTATTTCATCTACATTGAAAGTCTATTGTTTAATGTAGCCATCTTTAACTATTTTAGTTAGACCTCTGGATCATATACAGCAGCTAGCTGCTCACCTGGCACTTTTTTTTTAGTTGAAGCCTCACTCCATCGCCTAGGTTGGAGTGCAGTGGCACGCTTATGGCCACCCCAGCAACGACCTGCTGTGCTCAGGCAATTCTTCTGCCTCAGCCTTCCAAGTAGCCGTAACTACAGGCATGTGCTACCAGGCCCAGCTAATTTATTTATTTATTTATTGTTGAGCTGAGGTCTTGCCAAGTTGCCCAGGTGGTTCTGGAACCAATGGGCTTAGGCAATCCTCTCACCTCGGCATCTGAAAGTGCTGGGATTACAGGTATCACCTAGCACTTTTATGTTATGGAGACAGTTTCTTTTCTTAAACCTAATGAACCTAATGAACTAACCTCCTTAAACCTAATGAACCTAATGAACTAACCTCTGTTAGCTTCCAACTTTTCTGCAGCTTCCTCACCTCTCTCAGCTTTCATAGAATTTTAATGGTCTTTGTTCTGGATTAGATTTTGACTTAAGAGAATGTTGTGACTGGTTTGATCTTTTATCCAGACCACTCAGACTTTCTCCATATCTGCAATTAGATTGTTTTGCTTTCTTATCATCTGTGTTTTTACTGGAGTAGCTCTTTTAGTATTCTTCAAGAGTTTTTGATTTGCATTCACAACTTGGCTTACTGTTTTTGCACAAGAGGTCTAATTTTCTGCCTATCTCGAATTTTGATATACTTTCCTCACTAAGTTTAATTATTTCTAGCTTTTGATTTAAAGTGAAGGATATGGTTTCTTCCTTTCAGTTGAATGCTTAGAGGCTATTGTAGGGTTATTAATTGGCCTAATTTTAGTATTGTATTTTAGGGATTAGGGATGCCCCGGGAGAGAGAGTGGGCCTGGGGGCACTGCCAGTTGGTGAAGAAGCCAGAACACATACAACATTTGTCACTTAAATTCATGATCTTTTATGGGCATGGTTTGTGGTGCCTGAAAACAAGTACAGTAGTAAACAATTTTACTAGTAATCACAGATTACCATAACAGATATAATAATAATGAAAAAGTTTGAAATATTGTGAGAATTATCAAAATGTGATTCACATACATGAAGTGATCTCATGTTGTGGAAAATGGTGCTGATAGATTTGTTTGATGAAAGATTGCCACAAACCTTCAACTTGTTAAAAATATAGTATCTGTGAAGCATAGTAAAGCAAAGTGCAATAAGATGAGGTATGTCTGTGTTATTCATATTGAAGGCTGAAAACTCCTGTTAAAGTGAAGGTGGATTATTCCAGGAAGTGTCTTGAGGCAAAAAAAAAAACTTGCTTTGTGTTTGTGCATTTGTTTGTTTTTCTTTTTTTCTTTCTTTTTTTTTTAGTTGGGGGTCTCACTCTGTCGCCCAGACTGGAGTGCAGTGGCTGCTCCCGGCCACCGCAGCCTCGCTTGCTGGGCTCCGCGATCCTTCTGCCTCAGTCTTCCAAGTAGCTGGAACTACAGGCGTGCGCTACCACGCCCGGCTGATTTTTTGATTTATTGTAGAGATGAGGTCTCACTGCCCAGGCGGGTCTCAAACCTGCGGGCTCAGGCAATCCACTCACCTCAGCCTCCCAAAGGCTGTTTTTCTTATTAATCATGGAATCAGTGGCATGAAGAAGTACACAACCTCTCTTTGAAGACCCTGTGGTTTCCTTCAGGGATTAAATATGGAGGTCCTGGCCGGGCTCGGTGGCTCAGCCTGTTATCCCAACACTTTGGGAGGCTAAGGCGTGTGGACTGCCTAAGCCCGTGGGTTTAAGACCAACCTGGGCAACTCGGTGAGACTTTGTCTCTGCAATATTAAAAAAAAAAGAAAAAATTAGCCAGGTGTGGTAGCATGTGCCTATAGTTCTGGATACTTGGAAGGCTGAGGCGTAAGAATTGCCGAAGCCTAGCAAGTTGATGCTGGGGTGGCCGTAAGTGTGCCACTGCACTCCAGCCCGGGTGACAGAGTGAGACTCCAACTCAAAAAAAAATAAAAATAAAAAGACAGAGATTCTATATTTGGGATATGAGATGTTAGTGATACCTGTTACATTGCCTTTATAACTTTTCTACTATGAACTAATGCACAGGTCAAGTATGTCATTTTTTTAGTTGCTTCTTCATGTACGATGTTAATTTGATGGTATTAATTGTAAGAGTGCTTATCTTTTTTATAGTCAGACTTTACTGAAGTTGTTTTGTTAGCTCTTTTTCATACAGTGGCAATACAATTAGTAGAATTCTGCTATGCTGAAGCCTTCCAAGTTTTTTTGCCAGGCTTTAGCATAAATATTTTTCTTAAATTATCACAGGTTCCAGATATGTTCTTTCCTATTGTTTACTGACATTTTTTGTCAGTATAAAATTTTATAAAGGTCTTTAAGAATGTAAAAGTATAGAAACTTCATGTAAAAGAATTTTTGCATTTTGAGATTAAACTGATATGTGAAGGTACAAGTTAGATTTTTATTTTAAAGTTGTTACTAATTAAGTAATTCAATTCTGATAAGAGTGATAAAGACAAAGGATATATAGAAAAATGTTCTTTTTGATTAATCTTCATTTAAATATCTAAAAGCACTTTAATATATTCAATTATATATTAGAGCACTTGAAATTGTTATTGGTCTTTTCCCCCTTCTCTTCACAGATGGAAGGAACATCCTCAGAGTCAGAAAAACTGTACTCGTTTTGTGATCTGGAATCAAGTAAGTGTCTATCAACATCTTTAAAAAAAATATTGTCATTTGTTTGCTAAGCTGGTGAACTGATTTATTTTTAACTTTTTTTTTCTGTTTCTTTATTAAGTGAGGGAAACCTAGCAAAACTTGTTTTTGCAAAGTGCTGGGATTATAGGTGTGAGCCACCATTACCGGCCATGTAGGCTTTATTTTGTATTGGCACAGATCCTCTTCATTGAGGTTGTGACTTCAGCTCAAAACTAGCAAGAGTTCTTAGAGTAAATTTGCTACACAGTTTAATAATTCTAGATAGAGACAAATAAGATGATGATCTGGTACAGATTTATGGTTCTGGGATCCTAAGCACCAGTGATAATAAATAATTATTTAAGAAATCATTGAGTTAATTATTCTATTGCGCAAGTAATTTAAAGAAAACATGTAGACTTGCCATGAGCAACAGAGTTATGCTGTAGTTCAACTTGATATATCTTTTCCGATTTTAATAGAGAGTAAATTAGTCATATTTTCTTGTCATATTACTGCTAGGTCATTAATATCTCTTATAGTAAGCTTTACTACTAACATTAGCCCTGCTCAGTAACATAACAGTGTCATGCACACTGCCTTAGGGAAGATGTTCTCAAATATTTTTAATTGAATTGTGCTCTCTTAGCCTTAACACCCCATTTGTAATATAGTTTCAACTAATTTTTAAGGGAATAATATTGACTTTAGAACTATCTCCCATTTGGGTTAAACCAGCACCATATCTGGTTTATTCATCCCAGAAACAAACTGATTTTTTTGAGTAAGGGGGTCTAACTTTGTTGCCTAGACTGGAGGGCAGTGGCATGATCACAGCTTATCGCAGCCTCAAACTCCTAGGTTCAAATGATCTTCCCTCCTCAGCCTCTGAAATAGCTGGAACTACAGGAATGCACCACCATGCTTGGCAAAGTTTTTATTTTCTATTTTTTGTAGAGATGAGGTCTCACTATGCTGCCTAGGCTAGTCTTGAACTCCTGGGCTCAAGTGATCCTCCTGTCTCAGCCTCCCAAAGTGCTGGGATTTATAGGCTTGAGCCACTGTCTGACCAACTCAGAAATAATTTGATGTTGAGATTTCTTTGGTTAGTCAATGTTCTCTTTATGATGTACTTCATATGTATGACATATTTCACCTATTTGAACTTTATATGAACTTTTTAGTTTTAGTTTTCTGTCTTTTTGCCTTTGAGGTGCTGCTGTTTATTAGTTATTAATGATCTAGTTGTAAATTATTTCAGTGAAAAGTTTGCTTAAATTCACCAGCTTAATAAGAATTTATGATGGTTTGCACAGGGTGATTTAGAAAATCTGGTAATGCACAACCATACAGATTTTGGCAATCTATATGCTTATTTGTTTTCTGATAGGTATTTGATCTTACATTGCAGATAATGTTTGGTAGAATTTAATTGATAATGTATGTATCATGATTGTAGTTGCCAACAATATAAAGATATGTATTTGCTGTCTGTCAAAACAAAATGTATGTCAGGAAATATCTGGTTTAACAGCTAGCATTATATACTTGGAAATTATCCATTTAAAGTTCACTTGTGATTGTGCTCTTTATTTTCTCTTTAAAAAAGATATTAACAAACTGACTGAAGATAAAAAAGAGGGCCTCAGGCAACTTGCAATGACATTTCAGCATTTCATGAGAGAGGAAATACAGGATGCTTCTCAGCTGCCACCTTCCTTTGACATTTTTGAAGCCTTTGCAAAAGTAAGTGTTAAATTTGATACCTTTGCTAGTTCTGAAATCATTCATTTACTCCTTATTTTGATGTTGGTTACAAAAATGTCTAGAACTCTGATGGAAAATTCAAGACCCTTAATGGCTTGTATCTCTCCCCTTCCTTAATGACCAGAGGATGAGAGAATATATTGTGTGTATTGAAAAGGGCATTACTTTTTCTGTTTTATCAGTATTCTTACTATGGCCTGAGTATGTTCATTGTCAACTCTCAAAGCATATTCTTGAAATAGAGACTATACTGTCTTTTCTTAAAGAAAGCAGCATTTCCCATTATTTCTTAAGTTTATTGGAGTTAAGTTTGCCACTGCATTCGTTGAGTTTTGTGGTGTTTGTTTAAGTGTAGAGCCCATCTTTGATGTGAAAATGTATTGGGATTCATTTCTGATTAAGTGAATCTAATATGTGAGCATAACCATTTCTGATTTATAAATAATTTCCTTAGAGTCTGTTTAAATGTTTCAAATTGTAGGCTAAGGATAGAAAAACAGGTTTTATGTAGTATTTCATTTGTAGTCTATTGGTAATAACTGTGTGAAGTGTTCTTTTTGAAAATGATTATGAGGGTTTGTTTTGGCCTGGGGAGGGAGAGTACAGTGATTGATTCCTGATATCTACTCAGGGATTGAAATGGTGTGTCAGATATACTCCCCTCACTGCTGTGTATCTGCTGTCCTTGCTTTCTCATTTTTGTGCTTGGATTTGCTTTAATACTGATCACAGTTTAATGACAAGTACATATTACATTTGATGATGATTTTGCCACTTATCTTGTAATTTGTAAACATACATTTAAAGTTGTATTTATGCCATGAGTATTTTGTTATGTTTTAAATTTACTTATTTTCCAAAATTTAAATGTGATTAGTTTGACTGCTAAAGTTTTATTTTAGTTTTTATCAAATGAATTTTTATTTTTTAAGTATGTTTTTATGATTTTCTGATAAATATCATCTTAGCATTATATTCTGGTCTGTTTACATTTTAAAAGCAATTTCATAATATAGTGGTTACTTATCATGCATCTGACAAGTGTCTTATATGTTTATTTCATATGCCTCTGAAAAGTTTAACCTCTAGTAGGTTACCCATGGTAACCAGTGTACAATGTACACAGGTTTTTTTGGATGTTAAAAACTCTAAAAACTAACACCTACTGAAAGATAAAAATATACCTTATGGTGACTGTTACTTTACTCTTAGTGTTAAGCCTGTGGCCATTCTGTGATTATTACTTCTGTTGTTGGAAAATATTCAAGTGCTAAATACTGGTATTATTAATGTTCATGAAAGTATTTAAAAATACTTTATATTGCTAAATATAAAATGCAAATTACTGTCTCATTTCTCTTGTTTCTTTGAAAATAATATATCTTATAAAGGAATTCTGTCCATATTGTATAGGGGGAAAATTCTGTGACTATGATTAAGTAGACTGATTTTTTTTTTAATCAGTATTTTTTATTATGGTTTTGTGGGGTACAGTTAAGGGTTAGGTGTACAATTACGTTTCGTTCATGCACCCTGTTGATAAGAGGTGTTTCCCCATCCCCAGACAGATATTTGCTACTGTTAATCCCACTCCCCCATAGTTTCCCAGTACTGTCAGTCATTTTCTTATAGTATTATATTGGATGTTCAAGGTCCATTATATGAGTGAGAACATGTGATACTCGGATCTTTGTTTCTGTGAGAGGTCACTCAGTATTATAGACTCTAGTTCCATCCAGGCTGCTGCAAAATTCATGATTTTGTTCTTTTTTATGGCTGCGTAGTATTCCATCGTGTATATGTATCACATTTTTTTAATCCAAGGTAGACTGATTTTTAACGATACACTGCCCTCTTCCTCACATAATATTTGTTATTGCTACAAAAGTAAAACATATGCATCTTTGAGATTTTAGGGGATAATTGGACTCATATGTCATTTCTGCCTTAAAATATAGGTTGGTAATCAGAGGAAAGCAGCATTAACCTATGGCTGTTGTACTTTTTGGTGGAAGCTTTGTTAATATTTTGTAATTTATGTTTTTCTGTTTATAAATTTATCCTTACAAGAGATTATTCTTCTCCTTCTCCTCTTTCTCGTCCTCTTCTTCTTTCTTCCTCTTCCTTCTCTTCCTCCTTCTCCTCTTCCTCCTCAGAATAAAATGGTATTAAATTAAGTTAAATGGAATCCTGCAAATCTCAGAGATTGAGTCACTGAATTCATAATGTTACAAGTGTATAATGGTGCAAGTCACATTGAGCCCATTGGAAACTGGTAGAAAGTGCTGGGCAAAGTCTTGTATCCCAGTCTACTGCCTCTCTCTTTATTTTACTGACATGGGATTAATTAATTAAGGAGAAGAAATGGGTACCCCAGTGTGTACTCCCTTTAGTGGCTGCTTTTGTATGTAAACTCTCAGTTAGAGATAGTTCCATGTTGACCTGTCTTCCTCAACCTAATGAACTAACTCCTGAATATATACTGTGAAGGCAGCTAGCTTTACCTGGCCTCAATAAATAGGATCCTGTTTTATATTTTGTTTTTGTTCCCTCACATTTATATTCATTCTGGTTATGTGCAGGCATTAGACATGCTAAGCTTATGTTTTAGCCCATTTCATTGTCATTGAAAGCATATGGAATTCTGAGACCTTTTCTAAATTTGTTTATATCTTAATTTTTAAGACTTATTATTATGGGTATTTTCAAGCATACACAAAAGTAGAGAGACTAGTGTAATAAATCCTGTTTTCATCACTTGATTTCAGTAATTTTCAAACCTGTTTTATGTCTGTTATTTTTAATACTTAGATTTTACCTGGATGTTCTTTCCCTTTACCTGGATTTCTAAACCTTCATTGGAATTATTCTTTTGTTGTCAAGCCTTTTGTCCTCCTGAGAGGTGTTCATTAGTGAATTGACTTTTTTTGTTTTGCAGGTGTAGTGTGTGCAAAGCACTCTCGATACAGGGTTATAAAAATATGTGGCTAATTCTAAATCTGAAAATTATCTACCAATGCAAAAAAAAAAAAAATCAACAGGTCAAAAGTATTACTTGATGGTATGCTTTTCTTTTTTTGTCTTTTGAGTTGGGGTCTTACTCTTTGCCCAGGCTAGAGTGCAGTGGCACGCTCATGGCCACCGCAGCCTTGACCTTCTGGGCTCAGGCAATCCTTCTGCCTCAGCCTTCCAGGTAGTTGGAACTACAGGTGCGTGCTACCATGCCCAGCTACTTTTTTGATTTATTGTAGAGACGAGGTCTCACCAAGTTGCCCAAGCTGGTCTCAAACCCCTGGGTTCAGGCAATCCTCTTGCCTCAGCCTCCCGAAGTGCTGGGATTACAGACTTGAGCCACTGTGCTCAGGCAGTATGCATTTCTTTATCAAACTTGCACTTGCCCTGAAAGGAAAGGGGTCATTGGAGGATGAGAAAGTTCTTAATCCTGAGAACATATTTCATTCTCTCCTGACCTGATGGCTTTTTCTAATAGAAACACTTTTTTAATGGCTAAAAAACTAGCAACTTATATTTTGAACACTCTGGAGTCTCAGGTAGAAAAATAGTATGTCTTTCCTTTTAGACCTTGTTCTCAGTGTGAATGGTGCTAATGCTACTTAAGTCTTGATTTACCTGGAAAAATTTCCCCCATTAGCTACAGACTTTACTGTGTAGTTCATTTTCTGGGTCATATCCCCAAGTGTTTCTCCTTTTCACCCCACTTCTTAGCACCAGTATTAGTCTCCCACTTCTCACCCCCACATAAGCACACACCTTAACAGCAATTGGGATTTAGATTGTAGGAGTTTGCTGTACAAATAGATCCTGTCCACTTACAAACTTATTGCCTGACTGTAAAAATTAAGCAACATGAAACATAGGATAAATTTTTCTAGGATTGGGTATCAAGAAGGACCTCACATTGGAGATAGAAATTGACATACGTTTCAGAAGTGAGGGTAGTGTTGGGAAGCAGTTATAAACAATGGTCTAGAAATTCTGCTGTGAAGTGAAGATGGACTCATTATTCCTCTAACCCCCTGAGCTGAGGGAAATATATTGACTTCCTCTGGAGAAGGTTTGCAAAGGACAGCTGTCACCTGTGGAATGCAGGTTTCAGTTATATTTAGTAATTACAATAAAAAGTGTGAATAAAACTTGATGTCTAAAATGTTTGTTTTGCTCTAGGCATAATAGAACATTAGGAGTGTAGTGGTACCTCCAGAATTTCTACGGAGGAGAGTTTGCCGAGTGATGATATGGTGAATGGAGAGGCTGAAGTGGTTTCCTTTCAGCTTAATTTGCATAGTAGTCTTTTAAAAACAAACAAACTTAGATTGTATGTTCCTTAGGGGTTTGTGACTGAATGGAAATACAAGTATAAAGTGTGAGGAACAGAACGGTGGTGATTGCCACTGACAGCAACGAAGGTAGCCAGGAGGTGTACTAGGATGTTTGTTTGTGAGAATATGTGACTATGTATATGCTCATGAAAAATAAAGACCAAGTTCATCTCTGCTGGTTTTTTTAAGGAAGAGGAGATGTATGTCTCTATCCCTACAAGCCTTTCCTCCTTCCCACTTCACCACTTTACACTTTTTTTCCTTCTACTTCAATCTTCAAACAAAATTTCCAGTCAGGTTTTAAAGTGAGTTTATCTTGACATAACAGCTGCTATGATTCAATCTACTGATTGGATCCTTAATATTTGCTTCAAATTTAGAAAATATATATTTTCCTATTTAAAAGGTCAGAAAATTACAATTAGAGGGGGGACAAATTCAAACGGGAGGCTGAATAATATAATGGGCAAATTACTTTCTCCAGAGAAGTAAATTAAATTCTCTGTCTTATTTTTCTCATCTGTAAATGGGAATACTAATATTATCTACTTAATAGACAAAAATGAGGATCAGCTATAAGGTGCTTAGTAGAGTGTCTGACATGTATTATTAATTTCTACTACTGTTCCTCCCACCTCCCAGCTTTATTTGTGGTCAAATATAAAACTTCAGTTTTTTATGTTTTCCTGGGCTGTCATATAGCCAAGAGTGCAATCTGTGACTGACTGTAAACCAGAGTCTCAGATGGTTGGTCACAGTTGTGCCCAGTGCTGGTGTCTCTTGAGATACTGAGAATTACCTGTCTTTTTGAGAAGAAATTTTGCAAACAGGAAATAATATCTTTCTCCTAGTCACTGGCTTGGTTTTAGCACTTAGCTATTGTGAACAGAAATCATATACTGTTGCCTGAATTCATAGCAACTCCATAATTTCAAAGTACTTTCTTGAAATTTCACATGGGAAGTGTATAAGTAATCTTTTTGGGATGAATGAAGTATTTCTCACATATGCATTTTAAAACGATGCAATTAAATTATAAGAGCTCTTTAATTGTCATGTTTTAATTCATTGAAATGTCATGGATTGTTTAGTATTTCTCTATTGTCTCCTCCAAAACATACATTGATAGTTGTTGGCAATAATTCTTAATAGCTTAAACTTAATTTCAGTAGAGCTGGTTTTGAGGTTATTTTCCTTGCACAGAAAATATCTTTTTAGGGATTATTGTATGGGGTTCTAGAAAAATACACATAACTGGGCTTGTAACTTTCTTTTCTGAAAATGTATTTGGCAAACTGACTAGAAATGGGATAAGTTCTGAACAGTAAAATAGAAAATGAACTGGTTGCATAGAACGTTTCAGAGTCAGACATTAAATTGGAAGCTGCAAGAATAAAAGTGACCTCTTGACCACAAAACATATGTCATTGTTAGTGTTTCCAGAGCTCTGCAAAGTGCTTTTAACTTTATAATGTTGTGCACCTGCCACAGAATTTTTTGATTAGAAAGTTCACATTTGTTTGAGAAGATGCTCTGTCCCTTTTTCTTTCAAAAAAATTAATAATTCTCCTCATAGCATGTTATTTTTATTCTATAGGGCACATATGTGACATCCAGAGCTTGCTTTTCTCAAATCTAATTTTTAATGCTATTGGCTACAGCTGGTTTCCCAACATGTACTGGTTGCATAGACTTGAAAGTGAAGATTTTAAGAGGTGTTTTTTGTACTGTGATACTTACATTTTTATGTTTGGTTTCATTTTAAATGCATTCTTTGTTATTGGGGGAGAATTCTTTTTCTTAATGGAAAAGCAGTGAGGAATGTGCTAAGATAAGAATCTTAGTAATTTATAATATGAAAAAAAATTGTGATTTAATATTTTAAGGTGTGCTAGAAATAAGGCAAAAGAAAACAATGATGATATTGTTTTCAAGATTATATGCTTACATTTGGCTGGTATGTTTCTTTAGACTTAGAATGATAATAATCTATGTGATATCCTGCCATAAACTCATAAAGTATATAAATCAGCATTAAGGGAAAATTACTGTATAACTTTTTGTGTCCTTTTCATTTTCTGGAGAATAGTATACTTCAGTAAAAAGCAAGAACAATGTTGATCATGATATATTCTGTTTTTAATCTTAAATTTTCAGATCTGTTAGCCATCTCATTCTAAATATACTGGTGCTCTATTATTTCATTGTTGCTGGTAGGCTAATTTGTGTGAAGAATATTACCTCTGTTGTTATTTTGAAAGGTCAGGAGTGTGTGTGTGTGTGTGTGTGTGTGTGTGTGTGTGTGTGTGTGTGTGTGTGTGTGTGACTTGAGGATTTCAGGTTTATGCAGGACCAAATTTTAAAGCCTTTTTGTTGATGAGCTCAGTTGGGTTTTATGCTATAAAGTAGTAAAAAAAGCAATCTTTTGAATTAATAAAGTGATGGATTATCTAATTACAAAGTTGATGTGAAATGGCAGTATGATAACTTTGCATTACTAAATGGTCCCAGTGACTGATCAGATGTGCCTGGGTTCCATTAAGGAAAAATATGCCATTAAATATTTAATACTAAAAGCGAGCAGACACACCAGGATTGCTAACCTCCAATCACCAGGATGCTTATATCTATATGTTTGGCAGTAGCTGCTAGATGTGATATCTGTCTAGTTTGCTCAGAACAGCTGCTAGAAGACCTACTTACTGGGATTATACTTCTCTTCTGGTTTTAAGTAAAGCAGGCAAACAGCCAAGATATGTAACAGCACACAGATCCTGACTTCTTATTATGAAATGGTGTGATGCATTTATGATTGATATGGTTTATTACAACAAATTGAGTCTCTACATAGACTCAAGAGACAATTATTCTAAAAAATATTCATGTACCTTCAAGGAAGTGATATTTGTAGGACACTTGGGCTTTCAAAACAAATCATTGTTTGAATTTTTACTGTTGATATTTATTAATCATGTTCTTCATTTTTAGCCATTTGGTTAATATTTGTTTTCATTTATGTGCAAATAACCTATGATGAGTTGGTGTGTGTTTGTCATAGTTAAAAACCAGATGCCAGCTAAATTCTGAAGTTGGGAAGAATAATTAGTAAGTTCTTAATCAGCATTTTTATTTATACCTTTGTTGGTCAAGGTTAATTGTTTATGTAAGCGCTAATGCTTTGATTAAAAGTGTTGATTGATAAATACGTTTGCCAAACCTTATTGCCTTATCAAGTTGAGTGTATAACTTGCCGTTAGTTCAGATAGAAGAGATATTTTTGTAATGACAGTATGTCATTGTGAAATGGCAAAGGTTATTTTCATTGCTTTGGCCTTTCTTGGTGGCAAAAATCTCTAGTAGAGTACTGTGTCTCTGTACTAGATTATGACTACTTGGAGCCAAGAATTATACCTTATTTATTTTGAATTCCTAACAACCTTCTTGATATCCAGTAGGTGTTTAATTGTTGACTTAATGAAGGAATGCATGAAAACTGTATCCCTTTTCTATTTTGTGGAGAATACATTGATACTTTTTGTTTTGAGTAGAAGTCTCACTCTGTCACCCACGCTGGAGTGTAGTGGCACCATAACGGCTACTGCAGCCTTGACCTGCTGGGCTCAGGTGATCCTTCTGCCTCAGCCTTCCCAATAACTGGTACCACAGGTGCATGCCATCATGCCTGGTTATTTATTTATTTGTTGTAGAGATAAGGTCTGGCCAAATTGCCCAGGCTCCAGGCTGGTCTCTAATCCCTGTTCTTACCTCTGCCTCATAGTGCTGGGTTTACAGGTGTGCGCCTGGCCATATTTTTAAAAATTAATACATTGTGTAAATATATAAAACTAGGCTAAAAAAAGTCATTAATATCATGGTAAAATTCAAGAAGTTTAGTAAGTTTGTTGATGACTCAGTCTCTTAGAGGCTCCCTTTTATGCTTAGTTCTTCAGGATATGATGAATCTTTATATTAATTATTCCAGGGATTGAGAAACTTTTAAAATAAAAGCTCACATAG